CACACACACACACACACACACACACACACACACACACACACACACACGTGAGCATGTGCCAAGTTTTAAAAGATTAATAAATGAGAGAGAATCTGAAAGAATGAAGAACAAGCAGAAGTAAGGAGGAGCCACCACCCTTTGGCCTGAATGGAACCCCAGGACCAAGACCCTTGCTGGAGAGTGGACACAAGTAAGGTTCAAGTGAGGCTTGCCAGGCATCCAAGGAGTCCCTGAGCTTCTGTGGAACTTGGTGGGCATCTGTTCATTGTGGTGTGCTTGCCTGCGTGTGTGTGTGTGTGTGTGTGTGTGTGTATGTGTTTGTATTTTGGGGGCTAGGGGAGGGGCAGAAGTCTGTCAAGGCAAGCAGTAAGCCTAGCTTGAACCTTTGTCAGCCATATAAAAATTACAAATTGTTTCCTTCAAAGTATATTTACCAATCGACACAGGAAACCCTCTAAGTTTCAATATTTTTAATTTACAAAATGTTTAAAAATTCCCTTGAGGGTTGTCAGAGGAATCAATGAGCCAATATATGCAAAATCTTTTAAACAGTTTGTTCCATATTAAACACCATAAAGAGGCTGCTATCGAGTTCTCTTCAGAAACAATAGCTGCCCACGTATACGCTACACTCCAAAGTGTAGCTGCAGGTAAAGCCTCTCCTGTTGAGTGACTGAGTCAAAAGTATTTTGGGCTTTTAAATACTAGGAGACTTACCAGAGTTGCTGTTTTTATAGAGACCATAACGACTTGCAAATTCATTGGATTAGTCACCCCAGGCTGCTAGGACAAAACACTATAGCCCGGATGGTTTAAACAATAGGAATTTAAAGTTTCACATATCTAGAGGCTGCAAATTCCAGGGTCAAAGTCTGGCAGGTACAGTTTTGGTGAGTATTCGCTTCCTGTGTCCTAGCTGTGTCCTCACAGGACACAGAGATGGGGTGGAGAGAAAGGGAGCTGGGGAAGAAGACAAGAGGGAGAGAGTGAATCCTGGCTCTCCTTCCTCCTCTTCTCAGACACTGCTACTGCTGTGGTGGAGTCACTCTTGTACCCTTGTCTAAACCTAATTATATTTACAGGCTCTGAATCCAAACACCATCAAGCAGAAGGTTAAGGCTTCAACATAAACTTCAGGGATACAGACATTCAGTCCCTATCACCCATCAACCATGCATCTGAACATATATTTGCCTAATTTCTAATCCTACTTTTCCAATTTTTGAACATTTACAGTTCCAGTGCTAAAAACTGCCTCACAGTTTTATTTTTTCTCTCATTATAATCTTATATGTATAAAACCCATTTACAGCCTTTATAATTTTAATTTTCTTTATCCAAATATTTATAGGGCTATTACTGTATATTTTTTACCCCATCCCCTGGGATCCTTTTATTCAAAAAATTAGTTCCTTGTCATATGTTACAATATTTTCTTACAATTTTTGTTTTGTTTTTTTATTTTATTTTATTTTATTTTATTTTATTTTATTTTATTTTATTTTATTTTATTTTTTTTTGTTTGAGACAAGGTTTCTCTGTGTAGCCCTGGCTGTTCTGGAACTCCTTCTGTAAGCCAGGAGGATGGCCTCAAACTCACAGAGATCTGTCTGCCTCTGCCTTTCTGGTGTTGGTATTAAAGGCATGCATCACTGACAAGGTTTGTTTGTTTGCTTTTTGAGGTGTTTAAACTGGGAAGATATTTCTCATTTTCATTTGGTAGGATACATTAATCTTTATAATCATATGTTCTGATTTTCTGTAGTATAGGCAGAAATTATTTATAATCCAATGAGAATTAATTTTTCTTATTAATATGCCTTCTTTCCCCTCCTCTCTTTTTCCTTCCTCTCTCCTTCCCTCCCTCCATCTAGGAATTAAGCCCAGTGCTTTTCATTTTTTAAGCAAATGTTCTACTTTTAGGCTACATTCCAGATCTTGCTTGATTGAATTTCATATTATGTAGCCCAGGCTTCTAACCCTTGATCTTCCTACTTCCATATGTTGGGTGCCGGGATTATAGGCATTCACCACAATACCCTTCTCAGCTCATCCTCACTCTCTTCTCTCCCCAGCATAACACTGTTGCTCATTACTTTTTGTGAGACCAATTTGAAGGACCCGCCCCTTCCTGGGTTCCTGGGGCAGGAGTTAAGCCTTGTTAAAGCACTGTTACGTTGCTGTTAATATTAGCAATGTACTTTTAGTATAAGCACTTCTTACGGTATTCATTTTTCTTTTGAATAAACTAAAGTATTGAGGACCAGGGGAACTTGACTTCTCAGCAAATACTTTTGAGATTCTTTCGGTTGCTTTGTTAGAAGGACCCTGAAGCCAGAAACCCTCCTTTCACGCCAGCCCTGCTGCTTTAAACACTTTAGAAGTAATATAGCAAAAACAGTTGCCAGCTGCTCAAACATAACCGTAACATTTTCCAAACATAACCAGAAGCCTTTCACTAGTGGGCTTCGGTGGGATGGGGGTTGGGGGTGGGAGGTGGGTGGAGAGGATGATTCTCCTGAAGACCACAAAAAGACCGGTGGTTGGCTTGTACTGTCCTTCATTTGCATAAGCTCTCCTGGAGGATCCAAGAATGGTTCTTTCCTGATATGGCTACATGAGGACCCAGCCCATGGATGAACTCTCAAGTGGTCTGGTCTCACCTATGTTTGATGCTTATTATTTTAGAGCAGAGTGAGCTGGTGACAGGAAGAAAGGGTGAAGGGACAAGAGGATTTGGGGATGACAGCTCCGAATGTGGAACAGTAGCGCTGACTAGAGTGGAGACACCAAAGGCAGCAAGTAATGGTGGGACAGAGGTGGCAGAGGTGATAGGAGCTGTGAAGAAATGAAGACAAGAAAATGAGGCCATTGGAAGAATCCCATTTGGTCTCAGACACCATAGGTTCAATAGTTGTAAAACCGTCTCTGTTAATGGCTCAGAATCCTGAACAGTGCAATCCCCATCGCCGCAGGGCCAAGGGCAGGACCTGATGCCTGAGGGAAAACTGCAACTCTGGAAGATGCTGCTGGTCTGTGGCATCCACTGCTTCTAGAAGCTGAGTATAGTAGCTGCCAAGTGCTGTGACCGCTAAATTAATCCCAGAGCAGTAAGCCTCTAGCCTCTGAGTGTGTTGAGCCATGAGTATCTGGCTTTGATGAGGACAGTAGGCCCATAGCAGTCTTCTCTATAAAATTAGTTTTTTAAGCATTGGTATGGTGAAAACGACCACATGGGAGATAAGACATAAGCCTGTCCTGTGAAGACTATAATTCTTCCAAGACCATAGAAGGTGATGATGCCATCAGTTAGCTGATCAGTGGTTGACCAGATGGCTTGGCAGGGAAAGCTATGTGCTACTGTGCCTGATGGATTGAATTCCATCCTTGGGATCAACAGGGTAGAAAGAAATAACTCATTCTTGAAAGTTGACCTTATGACAAGTTTACATGTAACCTCCCTCCCCCACTTCAACACATAAACAAATAAACACATACATGTAAATTTAAAAATGAGGCAGGCTGAGTATCAGGGAATATCAGGGAAGATATATGTTGCTTCAGATAAACTTAAAGTATGAGGAAGATTCAATGAACTTGATCTGGTTATCAATTCAATAATAAAACAAAGTTAAAAATTAAATGGTTGAGCCAATAAAATTCTCCAGTTGGTAAGATAAGGGCTAAAGGTTCTGAGTAATCATTTACTCCTAAGGGCAAGACAGCTCCAGAAAGCCGAGAAATTGATGTGACGGGAACCAGGACCATGCAGTCCACCCTCCCCAGGTTTGCTTTCAAGTTCTTGCTCTGTTTTCGGTGGTGTGGGAATGGCCCTTTTCCTGTTGAGACTGTAGGTGGTGAGCAAGGCTCCATTTCTCTCTGGGAGATAGTTCTGAAAAGTGAGGCAGGCAGGATGCTGCCTAAACAAATGAGGTCCCTGGGAACTCCAGAAGAAGAGGGAGGGAGGGAGGGAGACAGAAGCATGGGGGTGGGACAGGAAAGGGAGGAAAAGGGAGAAAGGGAGGGAGAATATTGTCTGAAGCAACTAGAAACAACAACAATCATAAACTCGGGCCTTGCGTTTCTAAGGGTTACTGATACCAGAAAATTGCACATAGCACTCATGTGTTTAACTTGCTCTTGTGAGATGCACTAGTTTGAAGAGCTCTAACCAAACAGATTGTGGCAATAAGGCTGATATCTTAAAGACTGTTTTTGACAGGCTTCAAAGATCAAATTAACCAAAACAGAGTAAACAGAGATTTTTCACAGGGGAGCAGGGAACAAAACAGACAAAAACCCACCTGGCTGTGCGCCGTGATTCAGGGTGTCTTTTTCTTTTGCTGCCATGCTTGTGTGCAGCTGGACTTCTGAGTTCAGAGATAACCACTGGATCCTGGCAGACTGGGTAGATCAGTTCCTCTCTGTCAGTGTTAGTCCCCTGGTCATTGCCTTCAGTACCCTCTGCTTCCTTCCCAGCTCTGCCGTTCTTGCTTTTCTCCTTGTATTGCACCCTCTGACTCAGGGCGGCATATGTCCTGCATGTGTTCATAGTTGTGTCTCTTTCCCTCCGTCAGCCTCGCCCCACCCTCAGCCTCTAACCGACACGCTTATCTCAGAAACTCAAGAAAACCTATTATCAGGAGCATGTGCTTCTGTTTAAGTATATAGAGAGAGCAGCTGGTGAGAGCCAAGGCCTTCAGTCATGCTGGGAAAAGTCACGGGAGCGAGCATTTCATTAATTCCACATATGTTTGCCGAATCGATGAATGAGCCAGCGGTCAGTGAACTCTGACACATTGCTCCACTGGGAGAAATCTGTAAACCTATAGAGAGAAAAGCTGCCCGGAATTCTGTCTTTAGTGCTGTAAGTAGCAGACGCTTCCATTCACCCAGTCTCCCTAAGGTGTGAACGAGTCTGCACATCATTTTAAGATTTCCAGGAGAATCCTCAGGCCTGACCCACTTGATGCTGCCCTTCAGTGTTTGTTTGGATTTAGGTGGTTTGTCAGTTTATTTCTGAATTCTGACGCAGGCTGGCTGGCTCGCTGGTCTACCAGTGGATGATGTAAGCGAGAATCTTTTTGTCTGACTGTTCACTTGCAGCTTTAAATAGTGACATACCTGGATGTTAGGTAAGATTTACCATGACAGTGAAACACAAGGTCATCCAAACTTCAACACATGCTACACTTCTTTAATATGAACAGATTTCATATTCCCTAGAGAGCAGGTCCAAATAATTTCAGTGTCATAGGTAATAGGCCTAATACAATGGAGAGCACAGAGTTCCGAAAAAGTGAAGCGTCTCGGAATTCCCAGCCGGGCCCTGGAGAAAAGAGGCTGTCTGCATAGCCTCTTGTTCCCTTTCTTTGTCAGCCACTCTGCTCTCCTCCTCATTGAAGCTTCTAATTCTTCCAGGACTGGGCTAGGACAGCCAAGGGTGATATGAGGCAGGCGGTGTCTTTTTGACTGGCTGGATAGTCCAGCCTGCATCTTGAGAATACACCCCCGGTGTCTTCGGTGGTCCTTCCCCTGTAGTGGGCGATTCATGCCTCCCGTTCTTTCCTCAGCTGCTGGGCATTGCTTAGTCCCCTTGTGCCGCCATCTAGTCATGTGACACCTTCTCTACAGTGCTCTGGGGCAGATTTTAGAGAGTTGTGACTTTGATTTCTCTCAAGTCATCCGCATTTGGTGGATGTGGATTCTGTGGGACTTTGTCAAGCGTTTTTGCACCTGCTACTGTGAAGACATCACAAGCTTTCAGCACGGGGGGAGGGGGGGCTGTCTTCTCTCTGCAGTGCGCAGCCACAGTGACAGCGTGTGCCCTCTGATTCAAAGGTCCCTGAACTCACCAGCTCCCTTCTAATGTCTCTGTGCCTTTCTGCCTCCACCTCCTTCCCATCAACAAACTCTAGAACATATGTGTAGCCCTATAAACGTCCCCTAGCAGGCAGCCACTATGAGTTGGTCCTGCCTCTGTTTCTCTTTTATGAAGTCTGGGTGGATAAGATCGCCCCTCTGCTTGTCCAGCTCAGCTGGCTTGTGTCCCTGAATTTGGTTCAGTAGCCTCTTTCCTCTGACACCTCTGAGATGGTCTCTTCCAAGTGCAGGCTGGGGTCAACATGTGCCATTTTCTTCTCAGTATGTGTTCAGACTGGAAACATGAGTCCCAGTACACACAGAGAGACATACAGAAACACGCACATACTTACACACATGAGGATGCCAGGAGAATGAACAATGTCCATACCCTAGAGGCTGTGTTTAGAGTCTTTATGGTGAATATTTGTTACTGTTGCTTTAGATTTTATTCATTTATGTTTATGTTTTATGTGTGTGTGTGTGTGTGTGTGTGTGTGTGTGTGTGTGTGTGTGCGTACCTGAGGAGGTCAGAAGAGGGCATCAGATACCTTGGTGCAAGATTAACAGGTGGTTTGTGAACCTCCCTGAACTCGGGTCCTCTCATGAAAGAGTAGCAAGTGCTTTTAACCACTGAGCTATCACTCCAACCCCTTAAAACTTATTTTTTAATCACAGCAATATTTCACAAACATTGCTTAGCAGAGATGAAGCAAAATTCCTTTGTAGACATTTTTACCTCTTACAGAGCTGACAGACCTGTTAGATTAATGGATCTTCATTTTTTCTTTCATAACTTTTAGCTCACTTATGTACACATAAATACATAAAGCGTGTCTTCACATGAGTTTGTCTTACTTACTTTTTCTACAAACTGCTTTTCTCCTAACGACTTTATTTGTTCTCTCATTTGAAAAAGTGGTTCATTTGGGAATTTTGTACAGCGTGCACTTAGCATATTCAGCCCTCCTCCAACTTTTTCAGATCCACTTCCCACTTCTCTACACTCAACTCTGTGTCCTCTTTCTCCCTTTCCCGGCAGCTTGTCAATTGTCAGCAGCTCCTCAGCCAGGGGTGCGACTTTGCAGTGGGATTTAGTCTGGATGAGATTGCACAGATCCTGTGCATGCTGTCATGGCCTCTGTGAGTTCATACGTGCCACTTCCTGCTGTGTCTAAAAAACATTGCACTGTTGTCATCCACCACCTCTGGCTCTTAAAAATCTTTCCACTTCACCTTCCACAATAATCACTGAGGAGGGGGCCATGATATATACCCCCATTTAGGGCTTAGCATTCTCCAGTTTCTTAGCTCGATCAATTGTGTGTCTCTGCCTTACTGTAAATAGAAGCTTCTTTTATTATAGTTATAAGATTTATTAGCTGTGGGTATATTAAGCCATTAGGAGTTGGCGTAATAATATGTGCATTCAACAGAATAATAGCAGTATGGCATACGAACTGTCTAGCTACAAGTTTTTAGCTGAATAATGGTGCCAGGTATGAATTTTGTCTTGTGGAGTGGGCTTTAAATACAAGCAAAAGGTGGTTGGTTATACCAATGGTGTTTATGCCAGGATCAGTCTAATGAACATGGTGATTTGAATCAGAAAACCCCATATTCTCAGGCATTTGAATACTTCGTCCCCAGTTGGTGGCACTGTTGGGTAGCGATATGTCCCATGTGGCTTGGTTCTGCAATCTGACTAAGGCAGTGAGGAAATGAAGAAATGATAGACACACATACAAAAAACTCTAGGGCCAGGTGGGTGTGTATATTCTGATGAGTGTCAGTAGGGCATTGCCATCTACTTCTCTTACAACTCAGAACCTTAGCATGCTTGTTATGCATGCTAAGGGGGAAGAAGTTCGCTGGTCTTGGTGGTAAGTCTTTGTAGGAGAGCTGTCCCAGGCTATAAACACCGAGGAGGAGAAAGTGCAATTGTTAGATTTTGTAAGCATTTGATCAGTCAACTATAAACAGCTGGCACTTGGGCTGAAGAAAAAGACTTTGCCAATTTCAAGCCTCTCCTACATAGAGAAAGGCTTTGCCAATTTCCCATGGGTCCTAGGCCTTGTTCGTTCTCATGGCTGTGCAAATGTCAACAATACACATTCATTCAGGACTTCATTCATTTGGGGCTTCCTTCACTTTCCACAGAGTAGGTCTAGAAGGTGTAACCCTGCTGGAGGAAGTATGTTACTGAGGGCAAGATCTCAGGCTTCAAGATCATGCTCCATTCCCAGTGTGCATTCTCTGCCTGCAGTTCATGATGGGAGCCCTCAACTTCCCGCCCCAGCTGTCCTGCCTTTGCTCCACCATTGTGGATTCTGATCCTCAAAATTGCAAGCTCAAATAGATTTTCTTTTTGAAAACTTTTCTCTGTAAGTTACCTCATTTTGTTTTATCACAACAGTCGATAATTTTTTTTTTTTTAAAGATTTTATTTATTTTGTATGCATGGACACCTGCCTGCCAGAAGAGGGCAGTAGAGGGTACAGATGCTTGTGAGCCACAGATGGTTGTGGTTACCGGTAATTGCACTCAGGACCTCTAGGAAAGGCAGACAGAGCTCTTAACCACTGAGCCCCAGGCTCTCCAGCCCCAGTAGATAATTAATTAACACAGCATGTCTTGCTTGGCCAGTTGTTATTGCAGCTTGAAGCGTTTACAACCGGGTAAGGTTGTCCAGCACCGTGAAACCCAAACCAGGCCCTTTGTAAGGGTTTCCCTGCTACACTGTCCCTCTAGCCCCTCTTTAATTACTTTAAACACGCTTTCCATCCATCTTCTATGTGTTAAGTCTGAGGACTTGGCTTAGATGGGCTTCTTCTATGGGTGTTTACAATTTTGAACCTCAAGCTCATATTAAGTGGAACTTCACCTATGGTAATTTGTTGTGATCTGCGTCTATCAAAAGAACCTACAATCCTTGATTTTTTTTTTTTTTTTCATTAGGGGCTTAGTTCTCAGAAAATAAAGTGCAAATTCAAAGCCCCAATTCTCCGAGAATTTTCTGAGTCCTTATTTTTAAACTATAGGTTGGAAATAGTGCAGACAGGGTGACTGTGTTAAAGTGAGCAGGAATTCTTCAAGTTTGGGGCCTCCGGGGCTTCTGGCTGTGTGCTAGGATCTTCCCTATGATCTCGTTCCTGGCATGGGCCAGCCTTCATCCTTCGTAGTCGCTGGGCCACACTCCTGTAGCACTGACACAGACCCTGCCTCTGTGCCTCCCCCCTATATCCCAGAAGAGTTACTGCATGACTAACTTTTTAAAGCATCCACGGAGGCAGCTCCTTTTAGCTTTGGAGCAATGTGCCTAAAAGAACAACTGTTTTATCATCTTTTGCCTAGTATAAGTGTTTTTAAGAGACAGTTTCTACCACCCCCTCCCAAATTTAATTTGTTAGAATCTTTCAAATAAAATTTCAAATAAGTGTTTATGTTTTCATGTCCAGGTGTTATAAATACCAGTTTAAGAACAGCGAACACACAGATGTAGAAAGAATCTAATAGTTGATCTAGGTATTTCAGGCAAGATTCCCCATTTCAAAGACGCAGCTAGCAAGACTTGGAGTAATTATATCTTCTCTGAGATCCCATATTTGATTACCAGCAGCGCCAAGGATGGGGACCACATTGTATAAGATACAGGATGTTTCTATCTGTTTACTCTTACATGTTTTCATTTCAGTAAGTAGACGCTGGACCTTAGGAGGAGAGAAACAGAATGTCTACTGGAGCAGACATCAAGGCGACAGTGGGAGACATTCCTAATGACAACAACTTAAACATGACGCAAGAAGAATCCCACAAGAAAGGTAAAACGACACACAGAGCTCTGGTTATGAGAAAAAGAAAATCTATGTCTCCCCCCCTCTTTCTTTTCCTTGATAGCATTTTCTCACTACTGCCAATGGCCTAGTGTGCTAAACAGTGCTAAGGCATTTTTACTTCATGCCAGAGCAGATTCTAGATAGGAAGCTGAGTTTGGCGTTGGGGTTCTTGTCTAGGCCTGGGGTCTATTGTTCTCTAAATCATTTCAAATCACTGTCAGGATGGGAAACATACAAACTTTCTCCTACAAAGCTAGAAGAACAGAATAATAGACATATACACAAACTACAAATTGATCTCAATTATATATGTTAAATAAAATTCTAGTTAAAGTAGCAAGACAAACTGTTTTGCTGTTAGAAATAGCCTGTGAATAAGGGGAGCCTATTCCAAGAATGCAAGGAGAGTCAAATGTTAGCAATGTTAGTCGACATTAGTTAGCATAATTAGTCATCAATGTCAGTCAAATGTTAGTGCATTCACGTGAATCCAAACCCTTCAGGTCTCACCATGGCACCTACAGGCTGGTTCTTTTATAACCCTTGTGAAGTGCAGAAGCCATGGAGACTTTTGAAACTTGTAGTAGAGCATCTGGGGTGGAGATCCAGGTGACTGATTCCAAGATTAAAAGACATTTGATAAAGCCCATGAGTATTAAAATAGGTGTAGACTAGTTTGTTTGGTTGGAGTACTTGCCACACCCAGAAGAAGCAACATAAAGGAGTTTCCAGTGAATTCTCATCTAGCAGGAGTGCTTCCTATACAATGCTAATGGGCAAAATGAAAAGATGATATCAGTGCTGCAAACACACACACACACACACACACACACACACACACACACAAAAGAACTGTCTTTCCCTATGAACTGTATATAAAATGTGTATCTTCTTCCCAAGGAGAAGAAGAAACATGAAAATGACAGGCACTAGGAATTGTCACACCTGAAATACTAGCACTCGGAAGTCTAAAGTTACAGGATTTTGAGTTTGAGGACAGCCTGGGTTGTATAATAAAACCCTGTCTCAACAAACAAACAAACACGGTGATAGTAAAATTAAACTAGTGACAGAAGAAACACAAAGTACTTGATAAAACCTTTGTGGGGCTCAACTGCTGATTACAATTTCATGTTGGGGCAGAGAAAAGACTTGTGTACATGGGTGAAACATGGAGAGGACAGCCTGGTCATTCTTCTTCATGGAATATGACATCAAAACAATAATGAGCAGAATTCCACTGTAAATTTTTTTTTTTCAGATGGAGGAGGGAGGATTCTCAGAGTTAAATGGTCCCTAGATTAGTCCAAAGGTGAGATTTAACAAGTGCATCTCTGCTTGCTGTGGCATGCAGGGCTGGCTACTCTAGTCTCTACTGCTCTCTGGCACAAGCTTGGAAGCTGTAAACTCAGAGTCTGGCCACAATGACCACAGGTTACCTCTGGATTTCTCTGCCTCCAGTTGTGGTTGAACTGAAGTGACTGAAACACAGGCAAGCTCTGTGCAAGCCTAGATCACTGAGTTCAGATGAAGATCTTCAACCTAGCACTTGCCACTCATACTTCTTCAATGTCCTGAACAAGTTAAATATACTATTGCTAGCTACAAATGACACTGATCTCAGCCGCTTAAACAGAGAAATGGGAATCATTTCCAACCCCATCCCTGTCCCCCCACATTCACACCCACACACAGACACACACAGACACACACACACACACACACGCACACACACACACACAAGCAATCTCAGCTTCCTGACAATTCTTTCTCTAAACCTATTCCTGTCCTTGATGACTCATCCCAGAGCCCCGAAAACCCCATCTCTGAGGCTGTTTCTCCATTCATCTTTCAAGGCTCTGCTTCCAAGGAAACTAGCTTTCCCTCCTGGGAGACTGGAGCCTCCCACAGAACAGTGTCCTGCTCCATTATACATCTGAGATCCTAGAGACGCCTGTCTTCTGCCTCTTCCAGATTTAGAAAGTGTAGGAAGAAAGCAGGCTGACTATATGAGCTTTATTCCTTCTCCTCCTAGGCTTCTGCTCCCTGCGGCATGGTCTGGCCCTCATCTTGCATCTCTGCAATTTTTCTATTTATACCCAAAAAATGAACTTGAGCATTGCCATAACAGCTATGGTGAACACCACAGTGGCCTCCGGCCAGCTCAATGTGTCCACAGAAGGACCCACCACCAACTCCCAAGACTTCTGGAATGAAACACTCCAGGAATCTAAGGTAGTGGTGTCTTTGGTGATATTCTGAACTATTTCTTTGATTCAAGAGCCGTTCTATGAGCAATGAAATGCCGTTAGCATGAGGACATAATGCATATCCGAGGAGATTTTCTCTCTACTTAGTGTGTGTGAGTGAAACTAGGAAAGTCAGAATGAAATATGGTTAATCATTCAGTAAAAATAATTCTTCTATTAGGATGAAAAGCACCAGCTTCATAGATTAGGCTTGCTTTCTTTTCCATATAATGCTCAATACTTCAGTTATGATTTTTATTTCTTTATGAGATTTTTTCCATCTGTCTGTATCTATCTATAATGTTTATAATATATATGATATAATAATTAATATAGGTACTATATGAACATATATACACACACACATATGTTTTGCTTTTCTGAGACAGGAACTTTTTATATCTGTCTTCAAACTCATGATCTTCCTCCTTCAACCTCCCGAGTGCTGGCATTCCAGGCATATGCCCTCACACCCAACATGGGCTCCCTTATTTTAATTGTTCAGTTACTCATGTCAGTGCGATAGGAAAAAAAGTATGACGTGCATATACTTAGTTTTTTTTTCTTTATGAAACTTTTGGATTGGAAAAGTTGGAGAGAGGTTAAAATGAACTGCAAATTGCTTTTTGTGTTACAAATCTTTACAGTGACTAAGTCAGCAGCTGACCCAGGTATGAGGCACATATGCAATCTCAGGACTTTGGAGGTGGGAGAAGAACTAAGAGAGCAAGGTCTGCCTGGGCTGGTTAGAACCTGCCTCAAAACCAAAATGAAATGAAACAAGCCACCTGTGTCCAAACAATGAGGACCTCTTTGTCCCCTAGGCACCAGTGTATGACTGGGCTCCAGAGATCCAGGGAATCCTCCTCAGCTCCCTGGACTATGGATCATTTTTAGCTCCGATCCCCGCTGGCTATGTGGCTGGAGTATTTGGAGCCAAGTATGTGGTTGGTGCGGGCTTGTTCATTTCTTCAGTCCTGACTCTCTTCATTCCACTGGCAGCCGATACTGGAGTAGCCTTGCTCATTGTCCTGAGGATCATCCAAGGCATCGCTCAGGTACCAGACCTTTACCAAGTATAACTGGCATATATCCGTGTTCTGAATGATCTCATATTTCTGAGGATGGAAAATCTCTCCTAGGTTATGGTATTAACAGGTCAGTTCTCAATATGGGTCAGATGGGCTCCCCCATCGGAAAGGAGTCAACTCACCACCATTGCTGCATCCGGTAACTGGTGCCTTTATCTCATTTTATCGACACAGTTTAAGAGTGCTCAGTGACTGTCTATTGCGAGAACGAAGGCCTTAAATCCTGGTCACTCCCGTCTTCATAATCCTTGCTTTTAAGGACTAAACTGTATTTTTTTTTTTTTTATCAGAATGGCATGCCAACAATGCACCAAACATTCTACATACATTTCATTTCTTTTACCCTCACAAGATCCTTACAAACCAGCTAAGGAGTAAGTACACAGTGTAGAGAATCTGAGACACAGACAGACTGATAAGTGTCTGTGACCATACAGTCCTCGAATGAGGGAGCAGTGTTTGTACTGCGGTCTGTATCGAAGCCCTCACCCTCAGTCACTGTCACTCAACTAGGTAGGAAGCATTTTGATTCCCAAGATCAGCTCTCTCACCCATAATGTCCTTGTATCTTTCCCTCAGGGGCAATGCTTGGGACCTTCCTTGTCCTCATTGCTGGCGGTCTTCTTTGCCAGGCCCTAGGATGGCCTTATATCTTTTATATCTTTGGTGAGTTTGTTCTTTTCTAAAAATCTCAAAATGTTTCTCAGAGACAAAGAATGCTGGGCATGTATGAAGAATGTGTTTCTGGTTATCCAAATGCTAACACGTAGCATTTATGTGGAGTTGGCAATGTCCGAAATTAGTCATAGTGTGAATCTTGATGATTTAGGAAAGTACATATAAATTTTATTTTTCTGGGGGGCTGGAGAGATGGTTCAGCAGATAGGAGTACTTGGTGCTCCTGCAGAGGACTCAGGTCCAGTTCAAAGCACACATAACTCCAGTTCTAGGGAATCTGATTCCCTCTTCTGACCTCCACAGGTGCACACACACAAATGTAAACAAAACACTCATAACATAAAATAAAACAAATCTGAAAAAAAGAAACTAGTATGAATTTTAGCAGTCTGGATATAAAACTGAGTAACCTTATGGCTTTAAGGGCACCAACCTATGTCTTTCTGGGTTAGAGAGATGGCTCAGCTGGTAATGTGATTGACATGTAGGCACAAGGAAGATTTTCAGAACCATAGTAAACATTTAGTATCATGGTACACAACTGTAATCTTAGCACTGAGGAGGCAGAGGCAGGCAGGACCCTGCTCTTATTGCTAGCTAGCCTACCCTCCTTGGTAAGCCCTAGCCCACTGAGAAATTCTGTCTCTAAAAACCAGGCAGATGACACCTGAGGAATGACATTCAAGTCTGATGAGCCATATGGCCGTTCAGCACTGATGACATTGAGTTTTCCAACACTGTAATAAAGGATGTATTAGATGTATTTTCTTTGATGGTGATTAATTTTATTCTGTGTATAGAAATGGTCTAGGTAATCGATTGCACATAAAACAAGAAGGATAAAAAAAAAGGCAGGAAAAGGTTCAATGAAGAAGAGAACTTTGCCATACAAGCAGCAGGAGTGCTGATTTGTGCTCAGCCATGAGGGGGAAGCACACTGAAGCTTAAAGCCGTGTGTGTGTGTGTGTGTGTGTGTGTGTGTGTGTGTGTGTGTGTGTGTTTCAAAGCCTCTGTGGACACAGCTGTCATTCTTCCTCAAGTCCCAGGGAACACCCAGGGTGCTCTATTCTCTGTTTCTCTCATCTGCCTTGGATCATGGATTCACTGTACCATGTTCCTCCCTTGGGGACGATGAATAAAGGCAGTGTCTCTAAATGCCTCAGTTGGCAGCTGTCCTAGGGCATGGTAAAAGCAAGTTATATAAATAAGACCAAAGTGAGGTAGAGGCGAAGTACCCTCCACTTATGACAGGGCCATTCAAGGGTACAATGTGGGGGTTAGGGACAAGGGACTGGTCATTCTGCTAGCCGTAGGAATCATCAAACAGAAAGAAAACACTGACCAAACCAGTACTTCTGGTCCTCTGTCTAGGTGGAATTGGCTGTGCCTGTTGCCTGATATGGTTTCCTCTTGTATATGATGACCCACAGAATCACCCCTTTGTCAGCACTGGTGAGAAGAGATACATTGTGTGTTCACTGGCTCAAGAGGTACATTGAGGAATTTCCCTGTCATTTCCCTGTCCCTGGGTGTCCCAGAGGTAGAGTGTAGAAGGGGAGCTCCTATCTGGTGATGGAGGGGATCATCACATGGTTTCTCTTTTAGGATTGCTCTCTGGGCTGGTCTCTTCCCATAAAAGCCATGGTCAAATCTCTCCCACTTTGGGCCATTGTAGTTTCTTATTTCTGTGAATACTGGCTGTTATCGACCATAATGGCATACACGCCCACATACATCAGCTCTGTACTTCAAGCAAACCTCCGAGACGTGAGTACAAGGAAAGTGCACCCAGGCGTTGTCCTCTGTGTGATATCACTCGTGGCCACAGGGTGAGAATTTAGGTCAGGACCCCTCACAGGAAATGCAGCCGGTTAACTTGGATTCTTATTAACCTCAGTGTGGCCTACTGCCTACTTGAGCAGAGATGTGGTCCCAAATTATATCATGGTGTCTTACTTTTAAAAGTGTAATGCAAAAATTTTATACGTAAGGAAGTCAACATTTATAAACAAGATGCTCTACTGGCAGCATAAAAAATTTTTAGAGATTAATAAATTCTGGACAAATAAGATGTTATTAGATCTTTCTTCTATTCTTTTCTTTCTTGACTTTTTTTCTGAGATAGGATTTCACTAAGTAGTCCAGTCTGGCTGGAAATTCACTATATAGCCAAGGCTGGCTTGGAATTCACTGTGTAGCCAAGGCTGTCTTCAAAATACAGGTCTTCTTATTTCCATCTCCCCACTATGGGGACTACAGGCATATGTCACCAAACCTAGTGAAGAATCTTTAAAGTAACTATTTATACGTGACCTTTATATATGAAGAGAACATTTGTCATTTTCTTTTATTAAAAATTATTGAAGCCAGTTATGGTGGTGCATGCCTTTAATCCCAGCACTTGGGAGACAGGGACTTTAGGATATGTATGAATTTGAGCCAGCCTCCTCTACATAATGAATCCTGGGTCAGCTAGGGCTACATAGTTTGAGACCTGCTGCCAAAAGCAATTAAGAAGTTGTATGCATATTCTCTCTTTAGAATTAAAGTTAACTAAAATTCTTATAACAAAGAACGTAATTTATACCGAAAGTGATGTGTATGTAATGCAAAGCCACAGACATAGACCACCCATCCAGCATCCGTCAGGTCCAAGATGGGGTAGCGCTGAGGACCCATGTACTCACCTGTCTCCAACCTCCAGAGTGGCATCCTGTCGGCCCTGCCATTCGTGGTTGGCTGTATCTGCATTATCCTTGGAGGACTCTTGGCGGATTTTCTCCTCTCCAGGAAAGTCCTCCGACTTGTAACTATCAGGAAGCTCTTCACTGCCGTAGGTAAGGGCCAGACTGTCTACCAGGTGGCTGTGGGAGCTTGGGAGCCTCTTCTTCATGCCTTTTGTTCTGCCGCAGGTGTCCTTGTCTCATCTGGGATCCTCGTGCCCCTGCCTTGGGTCAGAACTAGCCGTAGCACCACCATGGCCTTTTTGGTCCTATCTTCTGCCTCTGCCAGCCTCTGTGATTCAGGAGCCCTCATTAACTTCTTGGATATAGCTCCACGGTGAGGACCCTTTTGCTTCATCCTGATAGAAGCTCAGTTCAGGTCCAGGGACTGTATCTACCCTTGCTGTGATGCAAAGATAAAAGGTAGGGTAGGTATTAGGTCGCAGGGGAGAGTAACATCAATGCTACATCTCCATGTTTCCAGGTAGGGAAGCTGAGCTAGGCGGCCATTGTGAGTGGAGCCATTCCAAGCTGAAATAAGAGCAGTCTTGTGGCCATGCAGACACCGCACAACAGTCTCTGCTGAGGAATGCAGCAGGTCCATTGGTTTGGTCATTGAAAGGTCTCAAGAGATCCCATCATGGAGGCCTGTGTGAGGCTTAAATAAAAGAAAAACAGGGTTGGAAGAGATGGTTCAGTCAGGAAATGCTTGCCAGGCAAGCATGTGCACTTGAGTTTCATCCCCAAAACTCACATTACAAAAAAATAAAATAAGCCAAGTGTAGCGGTATGCACTCATAAACCCAGTGCTGGGAAGGTGGCAGTAGACAGAGAGCCCTGTGGTTTGCTTGCAGCCTGCCTAGCCTACTGGGCAATTCCCAAGCTAGTGAGAGACACTAATTCCAAAAGAACTGTGGGTGACACCTGAAGAGTGCGTATCCACAAAAATAAAGAGAGGAGACACAGAACCAGAGGTAAAATCATTATGTCTGGTGCAAGTCATGCCAGAGAGAACTGAGACCAGACATAAAACTCCCAGGGTCTTAGTTCAGGCAACAGGACATACTTCATCTTCACAAGATGGCCAACTGAGACCTGTGGGAAATAGGCTGGTCTCAGAAGATAACCATCTCATTGCATGAAGGCCTTTGATGAAAAGGAAGGGGACTCTTGTAGTCCTATACAGGGCTACAAGATTGTGCTCAATAGTAAGAACTAAGACGTTGGCATGTTAGCATAGGCTAGCGCCTGAAAGGCTGAGCCTGTAGCACAGGATTGTAAGGATTGTTAGTGAGCATATTTTTTTCAGGTTTAGTGTGCAACATCCTAAGCTCCCCAGAGACGACCCCAGAGCTATGACAGTGCCACCGACACGAACCCTTTGCTTATGTGAAACTGCTCCCCCCAGGTACGCTGGCTTTCTCAAAGGACTATTGCAAGTCTTTTCTTATCTAGCTGGAGGCATAGCTCCTACTGTGGCTGGATTTTTCATCAGTCAGGTAAGGTCAAACCTTGTAAGGATTATTAAAAAGAGAAACCGATGGTGGTAGTTAATAGAAGCCAGTCTAAGGTACTGTTAATTTTCCAGTGATAAAGAACTCCAGGGTCATGAGTCTGAAGCCCCAAACATGCCTTTCTTCCCAGCTCAACTTACGTAGAGAAATTCCATATTCCCTGGGGGTGTTGAGTGGGAGAACACTCAGTGTTGGAGTTCATGGACTGTGAATTCTTACAAGATGTGTGTCTCATGTTAAAATTCAGAATTTCCAGTAATATTTATGGCATTTCTCCTGCTGTATCATGTGATCATCCATCATGGTTTACCTCAAACTGAGGGGTCTCAGGATTTCCGAGAGGGTTTCAACATCGCTATCTTGAATTTCCTGGGCAAACCAGGATGTTTTGTTTGTTTGTTTGTTTTTCTTATATCTAAGGAGCTAAAAAGTCTTTGGAGATTTATGAGCAAGATGTTTAATTAATGGCAGAATGAAAAGTTCCCTGTGCTTTACACCTATTTTCTGGAGTGTTCACTATGCCATTCATGAAATGTTTGCTCAGAGCACAAGCTCCTGTGACCTGTGGTACTGGGATGATTTTTCTTTTTCACCCTGAAGCCTTCTGTCTTGGAAGGAGCACTTTACCATAGTTAAAATAAACAAGGCAAGGTGGTGCATGCTTACAATCCCAGCACTTAGGAGGACAGTTTGGTCTACATTATCAGACCCTGTCTTACAAATAAATCCTTAAAAGGAGAAAAAAGTAAAATAAAACAAATAACTAAACCTGAGTACTAGAGCATTGCTTAAAAATTATATAGACATAAATTTCACATGGAAAGGAATGTCTGTGACATTAATAAAAATGTCATTTCAAACATGCATGACTCTGCATCTGTAACTCAGGAAAAAGGAGATTAACAAAGAAAGAATTTTTGTGTTAATGAAATCAAGTCTCCTCTTGCTTTAGAAGCTTCCATTTCTTTCTAGTCTCGGAAAACAAGCTATAAGAGATTGATTAAAAAGAAAATTGTCATGTAGATCTTGTTCTCTTGCCACTTGATTAGCTGATTAGTCCATCCCTCCATCCCTCCCTCCATCCGTCCAATAAACTATTAAATATTAGCATGTACTATGCCAAAATGTTTTAGTAAAATATATATATATATATAAAACCTTACCCTATAAAATCCATATTGTAAAAAAGAAATTGACAGAAAACTAGAGTAAATTGTAGACATGTTAGTGGTAAGTGCTGAGAGGAGACAGTAGAAAACGTGGCTGGTTTGTGAGTATGTCCAAAGAAGGAATCTTGGAAAGGGTAAACTTATTAAGCCAGTACCTGAAAAAAGCAAGGGAGCGAACCAAATGATGGGAAGTACCTTCTAGCAGAGGGAACAGGGTCTGTGCTGTGATGTAGCACATGCAGCAGTAATATTCCAAGAGCAAGATGGGAACCATGAAGGCTGGGCTGAGTTAGAAGAACTGTGCATCAAGCCACAGAACCATAACCCTTCTGAGCCAGGGGACAAGAAGTAAAGCCACTATTACTAACAAGTAGCTTCCTGCCTCCAGGACACAGAGTCTGGCTGGAGAAATGTCTTCTTGCTTGCAGCTGCTATTAACGTAGTAGGCCTGCTCTTCTACCTCATCTTCGGCCGAGCAGAGGTACAGGACTGGGCTAAGGATCTGACATTCACCTATCTCTGAGCAAAGTGAGCGATGTGTGAAATCCTGACACTTTCCTTCAAAGACCTGCTTCTGTGCCTGATTGACTGCTAAAGCCATCTAACTGGAAAGAGCTTCATTTCCAGGGTCATCTCAGAGACACTGGCTATGTGATAATAAAGGCTTCCCCCGCCACACACACACAACTGAAGGTTTCACAAGGGAAAGAAAAGACTTTTTTATAACTGTGCTCCTGAAAGCATAGGTTCGAGTTTTTAAAAATCCTCTATACTTTCCTCTGTTGCCATGTTAAAAGCATCAAAGACTGGAGGACAATTTGCCGCCAAAGCCAAAGAGGAAGCAGAAGTACAGGAGTGCTGAGTTGGAACCACAGGAGAATGGTACCATGAACCCTGTAAGCTGTCAAGCAAAGAGACCTGACAACCTGGAAAACAGGATGTTTATGGACCGAAGTCCCAGGGCAGGAGGCCAAAGTGCACAGTTGATCTCATGTCAAATGATGGAATTAAAGGGCCCTCGTGGGTCTCGGTGTGTGCAGGATGTCTGACTGAAAACAACCAGGATAAAGAGCAATGAAGAGTGAACAGCCATGCATCAAGGAATGAACTTTCTCCAACTAATATAAAAGGGGTAGTGGAATCCAACCGTTCCAGACAGCTTTCTTCCTGTGGTTGTTGGCTTTCAAAACCACTTCGGCAATATAAACACCACTCAGGCATTCTCTGGACTCAACTCTTCCACAGCTACCTTCTTTTTGACCACTCTGACCCACACCCCTCATTTGGATGCAGATCTGTGCAAATTCCTTGTGTCTTAGTCTTAATGAGTAGGTGTTGCCTTGAGTGTCTCTGATCTCCTCATGTATAGCTTTGCAGCATCAGTCTCCTCATGGATGCCCTTCGCCTGCTTCCCTGACTCTTGTGATCTCAGCCACTGCTCCGTGGGCCTCATATAAGTAAAATGTCTTCTAAAAAAAATGTATGTAAGAACCATGCTTGCTTCAGCTCATTTCACATGCCCAGAGAGTGTGTATGGTGTCTCTTTTCAATAAGAATCCTCAGAAAAAGAGAGCAGAAAAAACACTCAAGAACTAACTGAATATTAATGAATACATTAGTGTGTATGGAGACATGGCAGACATCACCATTATGCAAAGCTTGAATTAACTCACTACCACAGGAGGATATGGCTTTAATAAAGCCATCACAAGTGAATGTGTAGTGACAGCTCTGGAATATGAAATAAGGAGAGGTGCATCTTTCTAGAATGAGTAAGGGTCATGTACTAACGTAAGCGTGAGTGATGGCCACCCTTGCACAGCATCAGTTGTATCTTCATCATGTCACCTGATGTAGGAGGCTGATGGTGGGAATGTCCTAGGAAGACCCTCTGGTGTCCACAGTGTATGCAAAGGTTTGGTGTCAGGAGAGGAGGTCAGGGGTGATTAAGAGCAGACTGGGCTGGGTGGAGGTTATAGACTATTGAAGTCAAGAGCACACAGGATGTTGTGGACCCTGTGAAGAGTATTGGTTTTATCTTAAAATCAGTGGAAGTGTTTTAATGGAAAGGGACATAATGCGGTTCTGATTTTCAGTGATCACACTGCATAAGAAAATTGGTTAGGGGGTTCCAGGGTGGTCCAGGAGGGTAGTGGTCCATGGTGTGGGGTTGAGGGAGCAATGAGAGGTGAGCAAGGCAATAGCCTGGCCACATTAATACTCTGTGAGGGAATGGGTGATGTTCACAGCAACAGTTGCATTTTGGTTTGTTGTTAGATCAACAGGGATACCTCTCACAATGATAGTAACCTACTCAATGAAGACCACAAATAGGAACATGGACAGAAGGTTTGGATGGCACATGTGACATTTGCGGTCTAGTTATAAATTTGGAAACAATTTAAACACAGGTCCTAATTAAAAATTTCAAGATGGATGAGAGTGCCTGGGCGAACAGTATGACATAAAAAGAGAAAGCATATGACTAATCCTTCAAGATTTCCAGTGTTTAATGGTCAGCTAGAGGTTGATCAGAAAGAGACGGGAGAAAGGTGGGAAAAAGGACAGAGGGAAGAAGGGAGGAAGGAAGAAAAGTATAGAAGGCAAACCAAGGGAATAGTATTAAGATGGAGAAATATAAAGAATGAATTACAGAAAAAGGAGTGAACAGTTAGCATGGTATCAGTCATCAGAGATCTGGCAGATGAGGAGAAAGCAGAGTGAGAGGAAAGGACTCCACTCCTGGGACACTGGAGGCAAGAGAGTGGGAGGGAGAAAGGTGAAAGGATTCAGGATCAAAGTTTAGAACAAGCTTGTTGAAGACCCCTGAGGTAAAGCTAGTTGAGAAATGAAAGTTGCATAAGCAAAAGCATCAAGCATGAATGGAAAGTTCCTGGGAGCGGGGTGAGAAAAAAATTTGTGATCTACAGCCTAGCTAGGAAGATAACAGGAATGGAAATGGAGGCAGCCTTGCCTTTTCACTGACAGTCCACATTTGCTAGTGAGAAATCCAAGAAGGGTTTCATTCTTAGTATCTTTTTTCTACTTGAAAGTACAGAGGGTGTGTAGGTGGTCTGTGCATAAAGCAAAGACTACAGTGTTCTTATTAGGTGGGCAAATAGTGACACGGAAGAGATGCCCTGTGGTGGCCAGGCAAGGTATTTGCCTCCCATACCACCCCAGGGATACCTACATTCTTCCTCTTCTGGCCCATTTATGACACTTTTCACTACCTGACCTGAATGTAAACCCAGAAAGTTCAGAGCCCAGGGCATTCATTCTTTGAGACATCTTCAGCAAACTGTGAGATTCCATTTATAGTAAATGCCAATAAATGTTTGATAAGTCACTTTTTGGAGAAGTTCTGATGTGGAACAGAAGACCAACTTGGGGAACAAAAGGAATGGGAAAGTGTTTTAGTTTTGTTCATGTTCCCGTGACAAATACCATGACCAAAGCAACTTATGGGAAGAAAGGGTTTAGTTGCCACGTGAGTGCTGGGAATTGAACCTAGGTCCTTTGGAAGAAGAGTCAGTCTTCTTAAGTGATCATGTCAGTCCCTATTTTTTGTTTCTTAATCAATCATCTTTAGGTGCTGCATATAACAAGTTTGATTTCTCCCTGGGCCCATCAAAGAGGAAACTGATTTTTTTAAAAAAATATATTTTTAAATGGGCCATCCTGAAAGAAAAGGAATAATTTAAGATTCTTCAAATGGTTCTCATGTTTACAACAAAGAAGAATAAATGTTGACAATTGAAAACAAAATAAAAAACAAACAAACAAACGCAAAGCAAAGGCCTTTCATGAAGCTGCAGAGGAAAATTTCATCTTATGTGTGTTTATTGGATCACAGAGGAAGACAAATAAATCCCCTTTGAACTGAGGCATGTAACTAGTTACATACAATACACACTGCAAAAGAATCACTTAGACTACAGTGGGTGAGACAGACCCCTGGGGACCCCCATAACACCCCCTCCTGGTGTTGGAGACTCCCTCTGGGCCGCAGTCTCATTTGTGTTCCTCTTCCTTTTGATAAGGATGCTGACCTCATGCTCCGCAAATGCTCACTTTTCTACTAACTTGTAGAAAAAGGAAAATAAAACACACAGAGATGTCGCTGGAGAGGCCTTTCCCCCAGAGAGTGCTGCAACACTTCACAGAAATTAGTGTAGGCTAGGACATTTTTCTCAAGTTGTCTTTCTTGTCCAGTGAGAGGTTGTCAAGGCCATTTTCACATGTCTCCCCTATGGACATAAAAATAAATATGACCGCTAGGTGCTCACTTGCTCCCTTCCTCTGCCCTGTCCTGGGAAACCTATGTGGAAATATCTGAGTAACGGCATTATTTTGGCTACGTCCAGTCTCAGGGCACAAGGATACTCAGTGCTGTGTGTTAAAGCTGCATCCTAAAAACAAATAAAGAAAAACCCACAGAGCTGCCACACCTGTGGTTTGATATTGCTGCTCTCAAAAGCAGCACATTGCATTTATAGTTAGGACAGGTACATTCTCTATGTCCCCAAATTTCAGCTCTTAATAAGCTAATTTGTTATTAAAACAATAAAAATAGAACCTTTCTTGGTGATTTTGCACCAAGCACACACTCCAAGTTTCTTGTCCCTTCCATGAAGCCCACCATTTGCCTTTCTGAGAACCTTTACAGCACCTATAGGGGTTGAGAGATTGCTATCTGACCGGCTAGAGTGAACCGAGCCTGGCCTTTGCCTGCTAGCAGGCATCCAGATCAGCAGTTCTGTGTTTACACATCCTCTCTAGCACCCGGAAAGGCCAAGATGCAAAACCAGAGTGTCCACCCCGGGTCCTAACCGGAACAACAATGAAGAAGGCACATATTATTCTGTTTTGGTTTCTTGGGGTTTTGTGTTTGGCTTGTTTTTGTTTTTGTAATTCTGAGACAGGATTTCACTGTGCAAACCTGGGTGGCCCAGAACTCTGGCCTCAAACTCACAGAGATCTGCCAACCTCTGCCTGTTGAGTGTTAGGATTAAAGGTGCATGTTACCATTTCCAGCCCTGTTCTAGTCTTCTTTAAATTGATTATATTTGTTTTTAACTTAAAAATCTCATTGCATGTATTCAATGTACGTAGCACTATGCTACATAAGAAAGGCTGCATATAAGCAGAATTTGTGCCTTGATTGCATTCCTTCCATGCCCGCCTCCATTTTACTTTTTCCTCCTTTCCCATAATTTGCCCCTTTTGTTTCCCTAGACTGTTTTGAGTTGATTTTCATGTTCTCTATGCATACATGATGTTATGTATTTGTATGCTTCTCTTTTTGTATTTAGACACTTTAAGTATTGTGTGTGTGTGTGTGTGTGTGTGTTTATGTTCTGCATGTCAATCATACATTGCCTAATACCTGGCTATCAGCACCTCGTTGGCTGGCCAGGGCAGTCATTTGTTGCAGAGGATCACCATGTAGGGAGGGGAAATGCTGTGGGTATTTGAGCATCCCTCAGCAATACTGTCATTGCCCTAACCGCAGCTTTTGTCTAAGAGGCTCACTTCTGTTCTCCTATTGTGAGGCGGCTTATCTGTGGTAAGAGGGTTCTTAGAAGTTCATGGTGAGTCCTTGAAGAATAGGCAGAACTGTGATGGCACAGCAGTGCCTTCGGTGTAGTGGGGAACACATAGCAGATATAGAACCCCAAAGCGAAGCTCTGGGAGAGTTGGGGTGGAGAAGGGCTTTGTAACAATTTAAAAAGGCCCGTTTTTATCTGAATGTCAGAACATCATAAATATGCTGATCCTCAATTTTGGTCATAGTGGCACATAGAGGAAACTCCAGCACTCAGAAATGGAGGTGAAAAAAATTATGAGCTTCAGGCTAGCCTGGGATATATAAGAGGTTCAAGGATAGTCTAAGTTATACTTACTGAGATATTATATTCTAAAAAGGAAAGAATGAAAACACACACACACACACACACCTCCACAAAAACAAAAATTACCCCTCAAGCCCAACCAAGCCAGCAAAGAAAAGCACAATATCAAAGATTTTTTTTCTCTGGCCCTTACATTCAGTTTTAAACTCAAGTTCTAAGCAGAACAGTTAGAGAAGAGGAAGGAAAAAAAAGGCTATCCAGATTGGACTCAGAAGAAAAATATCTATGTTCATAGACAGCAAAATTCTTTAGCTAGAAATCTGACAGTACCTACTAAAAACTAGTAGGATAAGCTTAATGAAACCGTACAAAAGTTAATTGTATTCCTATTGTATTTAATAGAAAAATTATAGTGAGAAAGCTATTCCATTTAAAACAGAATTTGAAAACCAGGCACAGCGATGTACATTTGTACCGTCGGGCTAGTCTGCCCGGGCTACGCAAGAGACTTGAGGCCCTCCCAACGCCACACACTGGATCAAGCTCTTACACAGGAATTCTTGGGTAACACTCTCCAACCAAAGTAGACATAAAAGTGCATTAACGTTAAGAACAGACAGGAGCTCCGAGCCGCAGCTCATGCACACCATCGACGTGTAAGTCGCTACTCCAAGCAAGCAGGCAAGAGCAGCAACAGACCCTCTGATTCCACATGTCTCTCTCCTTTTCAAGGGTTCTGTCTCTATTCTGACTGTTTGTATTTCCTCACATCATTCTTTCTTTGTCTCTCCCTCCCCCAGACAAAACAGACAAATCGCAGAAAACAATACTTGGCTCAATGGTTTGCAAGCACAAGGACTTGAGTGAGTTTGATTCTCTGAATCCATGAAAAAAAAAGCACACTATTGGGGTGCATACTAGTGACTCTTAGCACTGGGGAAGCGGAGGCAGGAAGATCACTGAGCCTGATTGGCCAGCCAGTAGACTCAATTGTGCTGTCGGCCAGTAAGAGACCTTGTCTCAAAAGAGGTCGGTAGCATGAGGATGACCTTAGACTTAGGTTGTCTTTGGCTTCCATACATGCACACGAATGTGTGAACATGAGACCAAACACATCTGTGTACTGACTTCCATGTGCATGAAAGGAAGAAAGAAAGAAAGGAAGGAAGAAAGGAAGGAAGGAAGGAAGGAAGGAAGGAAGAAAGAAAGAAAGAAAGAAAGAAAGAAAGAAAGAAAGAAAGAAAGAAAGAAAGAAAGAAAGCAGGCTCACAGCATCTTTTTGTCTCTCTTTTCATGAGACACTGATACATGCTGGCAGCCATCACAATGGTCTCTTGATTCAATGGGGCTTAAAAACAGGGCTATTTCACAACAGCCAATTCTAATCCAGAAGTAATTTCTTCTCCTGTTTACCTACCACTCAGAGTTTATATGAAAAGCAAAATACCAGATTCTCTCTGAGCACACCTTAATGGACCTCCCTTAATGGACCTTCATCACTTGCTTGAAAGCTGTTTTTGCCAGGATCATCTTTGTGACAGCTCTTGCCTAACCCAGTGGCAAGTTTTAGGTCCTTTGTAATTTAAGCCCTAGACAGCATTTTTGCAGAGATATCCCTTCCTTCGCCTCAACACCCCACATTTTCTAATCCTGAAGACATTATTCTACTTTCCTGAAGAGACGTCCCCATCTCTCTTGCACCTTTCTTGCCTGTTCATTTTTGAAGCTCGGGTTCCCAAATTCATACGTCAACTCTGAGGCATTCCCAGAATTCCAGAGGAGTGTAGCACCATGCCGTGCAATACCAGTGATATTTACAATGCCCGCTCTTCCCTCAGCCCACATAGCTGTGCTCTCCATCTCAGAAATTCTCTTCCCCACATCTTCAGCTTCAAAACTGTCCTTAATCTGAGAATGTCTCACCTTCAAAGTCGTGTGGTTTTTGTTTCTTTGGCCCAGTCCTGAATTTCTCCTTTAGCAAACAGAAGATAGAAAGCTAGGCATGACACATTAATGCCTGCCATCAAAAGGAAGATTTTGTGCCAAGCATATTCCGGATCCTGGGGGATTATTAAGATACAAAGTAAGTGTGAGGGGCTGATCTTGATTTTCTGTCTTATAACATTTAAAATAAAGTATTAAAATAATATGTAGAGTCAACGCAGGTCACTCAAGCATTCCAAATAACCAAGAAACTCATTGTTTCCCTCTACACAAGTAATTGCTTTTGTCTTTCTATATATAACATTCTGTTTTTACTAGCTATTAATATACCTTTTGGTATGGGGACAGATAGAGACAGGGTTTCTCGGTGTAGCCCTGGCTGTCCTGGAACTTGCTCCATAGACTAGGCTGGCTTCAAACTCAGAGATCTGCCCGCCTCTACCTCACAAGTGTTGAGATTAAAGTCATGAGCTGCCACTACCCAGCAATATTCATGTGTCTTTTTTCTTGTGACTTATTATTCTAAACTTCCTGTCTATTTCAAAATATCTTACATAGTCAACAGTGTTTCATATCAGATAAGCATATATATAAACAAGTAGGTAGAGAGAAAGTGTTTTCAAATGCAGCTGGCAGGTTTAAATATTTCAGTGTACTATAGCTATTATTTTTTAAACCATTCTATGTGCTGTAATTTTAATTTTGCCACAATGTCTTCCATATTATTTCATATTTACCATGGCAGTGTTCTCATATAATTAAGAGAAAGCATTCCAGGTTTTCTTCTTCAGAGCCGTTACGGTGTTGGTTGTGGTGGCACACGTCTGAGATCTCAGCATTCATGAGGCAGAGGAAGGCAGAGAGATACAAGTAAGAGGCCAGCATGGGCTGCAGAGAGAGTTCCAGGCCAGCCAGACCAATGCAGCGAGGCCCTGTCTCAAACAAAAACAAAAACAGAGCAAAACCCCCAAGCCCCTCAGTTATTCTTAGCCCTTTGTGAACACGTGCCAGATGTATAAGAACACTATAATTTCCCAGAAGAATAATTTAAAGCTTCAATTGGGATTGTTCTGAACCACCAGATCTTAGAATTAGATGGCATGTTACAATTTCCAGTCTTTTAATATAAAAAATGGTGTATCTTACTTACCATTTATTAATTTCTAAAATTTTTCTATAAAAACTATCCTCTGGTTTTTCCAATAGGTATATAGATAATTCATTAAATATATATATATATATATATATATATATATATATATATATATGATTTTATTTTAGGGCTATAAGTAATATACTAAAATTATTTTTGTGCTATTCAGATATTTAGAAAATAATTATACAGATCATTGATTTATGCTACGTACATATTTATACTGTATCAGAAGCCATGTCAAACTGTGAATTATCATATTTTGGCAGCAGAGTCTTCTGCTGATCTTTGAATGTCACCTATTTATCTCTTCCTATTTTTGTGTGTATTTTTCATAGCTTCACTAGAACACAGCACAAAGCTAGTAAGACTGCATCCTTCCTTGATCACAGCGTCAGGGGAACTAACACTGTGCTGACATACGTGCTGTTTGCTGCAGTAACGGCAAAGTCGTTCTCACATTCTGACAAGGACTAGCCGATTTCCAGTCACCCTCGCTTCTTAGATGTGGGCCCATCTTATTCTAACCTAGAACCGAAACTGCTGTTTTTAGGACCACGCTCCTCTCTCTGCTATGAGAAGCTAGATTCAATTTCTTTATCTATGAGCTGTCATTTTATCCCAGGAAGCGGTATCAGTGAAAATGTGGCTAACACGCCAGGCTAATGTCTCTTAAGAACATTTTCTTTTAGACTTAGGTATTTGCTCTGTGTGAATCCATGAGTGTGTGTGTGTGGGGGGGGGGGGCGCTGTGTGGATGTGGGTCAGAAGATGGCTCTCAGGGAGCTGGTTCTCTCCATCCACCAAATTAGACTCTGGAGATCAAACTCTGGTCATCGGTCTTGTTTGCAAGCACCATTGTCCACTGAGCCATCACTTTTCAGGTACATTCTTACTACATTGTTTACACTTCCCTACCTTCACATATAAACAGGAAAAAAATCCTAGTGTACAAATAAAAAATCCATCTCTTCTCCATAGGAGAACGGAGTTAAATGGCGGGGTTTGCCAGTGCGGTATATTTTTAAATTTTCAAGCATGTGGATGTGAGGGTGAGCGGGCTGTGATATCTGTCATCCAGTGATCACCAGGGTTGATTTAGCTGGCCTGACTGACTAGGTGGGTGTCCCCTTCATCCCTCACGGCACCACGGACCTCTCTCTGGGAGCTGCATGCTTGGTCAAGAGGATGACTTGCTCTAAATAGCGGAGGAGGACCTGACTCTGTTCAAGGGTGTATGCGTAGCCATGCTGCCTTGCTGGAGCCTCCGGATAAGCTCTCAAAAGTGTTTTTACAGCCACTGCTGTTTGGCTTTTGTGTTGAAGGGATTCACCGTGTGTGACTTTGTTTTCTTATAATCGTTGCACTTTATGTAAACAGGTGCATAACATGGCCAAGTTTTATAAATTCTCAAACTGTATTTACAGTAACAGGAGATTTCTGGGGACGGTTTCATGAGTGACGTCACCTCCACCTAGATATGATTTGAGGTTCATGAGGAGGTCTCCATACTCCTGAAACACTCCAACTTTTTTTTTCCCCCATCCAAATGACCCAAGGCAGATTGCAAGGATTAGCTAGTTTTTTGGTCACCCTTTTCCTCAGATGCAGCCCTTGGGGATTCTCAAGCTGAAATGTTTTGTTTGTTGGGATCACCACCGCTTCCAGACTCTGAAGAGCACTCCCCAAATCAGGAAGTCCTTTTCCCAATATAATCAAAAAAGCAGCATTTTGGCACCAGTCCTGAGTTTCTGCTTCTTGCAGACATTGCCTGTTACTGCTTCTGCATCTTCAGCTTGCCCAAGTTTCATAGAAGACTCTACTTTCCAGCCGTGACAACGGTTTGCATTAAGAAAATCGACCCAAACCACTCTCTCTCCCACTGATGGAAGCATAGTCCTTATAAGTTCCTTTTGTTTACATTAAGTCTGATGTTCTTATTTTTAATTTTTTATATTGTTGTTGACAAGAGGTAAATAAGATTCTTTGTCACATGTTATGTTTCTTACATCTTTAGTCTCTTCTTTTACTTTGTTACTCGTGTATGTCATTTCCAGTATCTTTGAGGCTCTAGTTGTGTTTGTTTGTTTTTAAATTCTTTCAACTGTTTCGTGATTTTTTTTTTTTTTTCAATTTTGAGCCATATGTACTGAACTCCTATAGAGCGTGAATTCAGGATGTTTCTCTAGAAAAACTTAATTTGCTCCAATTAGGCAGCTAAGGTGCTGAAAAACATTTCGTGGCATGTGACATTTAGAAGAAACAGGGTTTGATGGGGCTGTAAAGAGGGCTTAGAGGTTATGAGCACTAGCTGCTTTTCCAGAAGATTGGGGCTCCCTACTTGTAGCACCCACATGGTGTCTCATAATGGACTGTAACTCCCGTTCCAGAGGATATGCTGTTTTCTTCCAGCCTCTGTGAGCACCAGGCACACATGTGGTACACAGGCACATATGCAGGAAAACCACCAATACACACAGAATAGAGACAGCTAGACAAGATTTTGGGAGAGAAACAGATTTGAATATGGACCTCATATCCTTATTGGTATACTATTACACATGCTCAGTGGACATTATATTCTGTTTCTCTTCTCTGACACCGAGCAAAGGCAGGATTCCTTCCCTGGGTGGGGATAACTTCGAAAAGTTCTGAAATTACATTTCCTCTCACCTTTCGGAAGTTAGCAAAGAAGTTTGCTTGGCTGACAAACTGGAATTCAAGAGATTCAGTGGAAAAACAGGGTGTGGCTAGCTCTGTGCTCAGAAAGAGAACCAACCGGGGTTGCCTTGAACATTCCACTTCTCCAGTGAGGCCAGCGCTCCGACCAAGGAATTTCCATGGTTCTGTCTGGGTCCTCTGCCTTTATGACATCATAAGTATATGAAGCCACATTTTGGGAGGCTCCTCTATGGGAAACGTGGCCACAACGTGTTCTGACGACCTCACCCTGCCCGGTGCTGTGTGGTGAGGAATGATCGAAGGACTCCCTAACAGGACTTCTCCACTTGGGAGCTTTCCTTCAAACAAACCAGTGGATGAGCTAGTGGAATTGACAGGGGTTGGGGGTGGGGTAGAGAAGTCTCCTTTTGTATGATATACGGTAAAGGGGGTTTCTGTCCTCCGTGTTGTAGAAAGGAATCTGCATGCGAATGTTTCTGATAACTTAGAAGAGCAGCTGGCTCTTCTGAGTTCCCGCTCCCGCCCTGGTGGAGGAGGGGCACGCAGCTGATACAGGCGGCCGCTAATTAGACTCAGCATTTCAGGAAGGGGCTGGTCTCAGGCTCCTAGAAAAGGAGGGGAAGTGCAAGGCACAGTGCCCAGAGATGCACAAGACGCCGTAAGGATCAGAAATGGGGCTGATTACCTGACCAACAAGGCAAGCCAGGCCTTGAGTACGATTGACCCCCTGCATGTAAAACTGGCTGGCTGCAGGTTCTCCGAGGGTATTGTTCTGCTGCCTTCTCGGATCACCAAATCCCACACTCTGAATAAAGTGCCGTTTAAAGGTATGGTGGTAGGGAGCATTACCTCCAGGGTGAACGCAGAAGGAGGTGCAGTCCTTGCTCAGGACATGTTTAAGCCGGCAGGACCATCCTGGCTCTGCTGTTTTTTGGATAAATGTTTGTCTATTGAGCCACGGCAGCCAGTGGCCCTATGGTCATTCACCTCCATGGAATCAGTTCTTCTGAAACCCCAAAATGTTCTCTTAATTGTTTTTTTTCAAGAGGAGGCATGCATTTTAAGATTATCATTGTTACTATTATTATTTGTGTGTATCACAGGATGTGTGTGTGTGTGTGTGTGTGTGTGTGTGTGTGTGTGTGGATACGCATGTGCCACAGCATGGATGTGGAGGTCAGAGGAAATGTTTGTGGAGTTGGTTCTCTCCTTCCACCTCTGTGTGGATTGTGGGGTTTGAACAAGGTTGTCAGGCTTGTGCTTAACCTACCCACTGGGCCCTCTCGGAAACACTTGTTTTAAGTAACTTTAAATCGGTAGAGTATTTCAATTGTGTCTGTCAAGAGGACTTTAAGTAATTCTGTAAATGCGGGCGCAGTGCCTGCCTTGGTAGACCATTGTTCCTCAGATTTTAGCTCTGTGCTGTCCTGTTTCTAGATTTTTTTTTTCTGACAAAGCTCTTGTTACTTCCACTACCCTTACTCAGCCGAATCCTGTTTCAGCATCTACATGTCCCCTGTTAAAACCACAGAGACCCATTTCCTTTCAAGCAACTAAAGAGTTTCCAATAGTAACAAATGCCATACAAGGAGAAAGACTATACTGTCTGAAGACTCAAAGGACTGCTTGGTTTCACCAAAGTTGTCTTCAAATGACATGGAAACCCTTAACTCATCTGCTGTTGGCGTCTCCTCCAAGTGTGTGTGTGTGTGTGTGTGTGTGTGTGTGTGTGTGTGTGTGTGTGATTTTCTTTATACAATTAATAGGGAAAAAAATAACTATGCATATCTGCATGCTACTTACCTGACTAAGGATCAACCCAGCTACAGTTGAAGAAATTAGGCCTCCAAACATTCCAAGTAAAGCTGTAACTGCTTTAATAAATCCGTAATATCTGTCCAGAAGGAAAGAGAACACAGATAGAAAGTGTTACGAATGCTTCCAGCAGAGCCACCCCGGTTCATACCGGCTTGAGCGGGGAACCGCCGATGCCATCAACACCCATTCCTACTGTTTAAGTCTGTCAACGCCGCAGAGAATATACACGCAGGTAGCAACTTTTTCATTGTCCCACAGTGTCAGAAAGGTCGACTTTAACAGTAAGGAATCTGTTACGTTATGAAAATGGGAGCATGTTCATTGACCAAGGAGGGGACAAGTCCATCCATCAGCCATGAAGAGGGAGCCAGTGCTTAGTCAAGAGCAGTTTGGTCCAGGCCTTGGAGCCTTGGCCCTCCAGCTCAGCAATAGAGGTTGTGTGTTAGAAGGTCTTTTCCTTCATGAGTAGGAGAGTCTTCAGGTTTGTTTTATTTTCTTTGATCTATACTGTTTCTACTTTGCCTTGACATGTTCAATGAGGGAGAAGCATAGAGCTTGTCTGTTAACTTATCAGCCTCTACTCAGGAACCCTAAACACTGTGAGGTCCCAGATTAGACTTTTGGTCTGAGTCATGGGAGAGGTGGACAGTATATCCTGTTAGCATACTGTCCTAGTCACTATCCTGTTGGGAAGAATCCTTCTGAGAAGCTCCTGAGCGTTGGTGTTGGCAGGAACCGTTAACCAACATCACTTTTCACAGTTCACCTCTTGCTGTAGCAACAGAACTCTTGGGTGGAATTTGAGCCAGTTTGGACTTTTCTGAGCCCCTCCTTGTTATTCCAGTCTTTATGAGCTTCATAAAAAAACTGTGCACACACACACACACACATATACACATATATTCATGCATGCTCTGGTATGCGCAGAAACACTAACACTATGCACTGAGTCATTTTATGTCACCGTAAAGGTTACAGTTTGTCTTTTAATCTTAAAATAGAGTCACTTGTGTGGGTCCCTAAAAGTATTAAAGCTCCCCTTGAGCCATGTCTTTTGGGAAACTGGTATGAAGCTGGGTGGGTTATGTTGAATCAACTGCAGCTTGCTTTATAATCCTGGATATTTGTTCCCTTCAGTAAGGTCTTGCAGAGCATTCAAAATTACATAAGCTCAGTCCTCTTTGGATGCTGTCTTACCTGTGTCAATTAGGTCAAGTATGTTCGTTTGTTCTTCTAATAATCAATATAATTTCTAACTTCTTGTCTACCTCCTATTGTTGGATGATCAAACAGACAAACAAACAAACAAACAAACAAACAAAAAACCCTGGAAGTAAGCCTCTTGCTTGAAACTGTACCTAATTATTTGAGTGCAGGACCTGGCTAGCCCATTTGAACCTCTTAATTCTTTGAATTCCTTAGTTCACAATGAATATAAATAAAAATATATGGGCTAGCAAGGTGGCTCAGTGGGTAAGGGCACTCGTTTGTGCAAGCCTGGCTGCCTGAGTTCACCACCTAGGACCCATATAAGGGTGGAAGGAGAAATCTGTCTTGACAAAGTTGTCCTCTGACCACCACATGGACACACACACACACAGGCGCGCGCGCGCGCGCACACACACACACACACACACACACACACAAGTCTGATAGATTTCTCTTCACCGTTATGAGGTACATTTTAAAATTTCTAGCCATGCTTCTTGGACTAAAGTATATTTTATCTGGTATTATGATAGTATTGCCAGGCTTCTTTTTATTCTATTGACTTTTGAATCAGTTCACTTAATCTGTGCCTCTTCTTGGCAGCAAATCCACATTTCCTTTCAGAATTAATGTAACCCGTGCAAGAAATCGGGAAGTTAAACACATGACTTTCCTTGCAGCTGTTAGGACACATCCTCTGAAATTCACTATGCAGCCACCAGATGGCGCTCCTCCCTGCTATAGCCAGGCAGGCGTGCTCTTTACCCTGAACCTCACATCCCTCAGTGCCCTAACACTGGGGATACAGAAAAGCAAGAGAACCTTTAAATCATTTTAAAGTAAGACAGATTTTTGTACAATGCTCAGCTGTAATTTGCTTATTCTTTAGGTGGAACAGACCATGGTTTAAAGTATTTTGTAAGCAAATTTTAAAACAAAAGAAACATTGTGGTGGGTTTTTAGTTGTTTTTTTTTTTTATTTTATTTTAATTTTTATTGTAATTAGTTACATTTTATTAACTCTGTATCCCAGCTGTATCCGGCTCCCTCATTCCCTTCCAATCCCACCCTCCCTACCGCATCTCCTCCCTGACCCTTTCCAAGTCCACTGGGGTTTTTAGTTTTAACGATTTCACACTTGAGTATAAAATGTGTGAGTAAAACCTGAACAAAATTAAGATGTCTGAACTATAGCGCAATCCCCTGTGGAAGGGAAGGAGACTTCAGTGGCATGAAATCCACTTACTGACAGCTGCCTTAAGAGGGTGGCTTTGCTGTCTGACTTCACCACAGACCATCCCAAGACTCTGCTGGTAATTTCTCTTCTCCCCACTCCCCAAAGGCATGGTATAGCTACCATATTCTCAGGCCTTTTCTGCCTCTCTCAACCTTGCTCTCTCAATGCTTTCACGAAACCACGTCTTTATGACTCTTCTTCCTTTCTGAATTTCTTTGCTGTAACAGGGAACTTAAGTCCGTTGGAATGATGCAATTTAGGACAAATTAGATCCTGTCTGAGTCATCACCTGCTAAGATCTCTTACTTGTCTGCCAGGTGCTGACAAACAGTATCACTGAGGCCATGAGTGACTAGAGCTAGTTAGCCTTGTAGAAAAACATATCTAGGTGTGGACCTTCAAGGCCTCCATCCTCTGTTTCCCAGCCAGAGCATGTGGATAAGATTATTACATTCATCAGAGGGCATGATAGGCACAAAAGATATAACCAACATGGCAACTGCTTATAATTTTACAGATATACTGATTTGTTAGCACAGTCTTAATTTTAAGTGCCCATATTTTAATTGATATTGACATTCAACACCTGATCTTAGCCCACAGGCTGAGAAACAATTGATATTGCACATTCTTTATCAAATAATTTTTGTGTCCTTATATAATTCCATACAATTAGAACACTTGCTGGCTTTTTTTTTTTTAAAGGCAATTCTTGAAACTAAATAAATGAACTGGATACATTTGTTCCTCTTTATGTGGGCCTGGTGGACAAGTTTCTTTTCAAATTCGTGACAAGTGATTTTGTTTCGTCTTGTTTTTACTTCACTAGAAGCTTCTACTTTGGGTAACCCTGTTAATAAGTTGTCTGTGTTCTCCATGCAGTTAGCTCCTCAGTACGGTGTGAGTGTTGTCTGCTGGCTGCTGTGAATTACAGAGCTGTTTCTGTGGGTCACACAAATCTCTCAAAGGACATAGGATAAAAAGCAGTTTTCGCACTAAACAAGTATAACTAAAATATTAGGTAGGCTCCTGCTGTGATTTGTATGCGTGTGTGAGGAGCTTGGATTGCCAGGGGCTTGGTTGCCAGGGGCTTGGTTGCTAGGCTGGAACCACAGGAGGTGGTGGAAAGGTGTGACCTAATAACTCGTGGGGTAAACATTCTCTTTTTACCCCAGGTGTTAGATGAGGACACCAGCACAGAGCTTTGCTTGAGGTAAATGGCCATATAGACCAATAACCCAATAACCTGACTCTGAAATAGGCATTCACTGTTTTGGGGCTATTCTTTACAGCTCTGTAGCCAGGGTTCAGCATATGTGTACAATTATCGGCATTATTTAAATTTGGCTTACACAGATTTTTCCCTCAGAACTGTTCCTCTTCTGCCTGCGAGCTTCATAATATTTGAAATCCTAAAGTGACCCTGAGGTCAGGGTTCAAGAAAGAAAGAGCAGACTAATCTTACACAATGAGAATTCCTTCCGGGTGGGGCCAACCTCCATTTGGAATTTATTTGTGGTTGCTTGGGTGGAGAAGCCATTGTCTTAAAATACTTGGTATAGTTAAACTGCCAATTACTATTGTGACTTTAATGAGTTTCACCACTGAAAGAGTCACCCAAGCAAGGTCACAATTTGGTTATAAAGTGATTGTTGGCACACCCTTTGAAATATCAAAATTGACTAATGGTATAAAAACAACAGAGGGGAATGAAGCTTGTCATGTAATCAACAAACGATTTAATTCTCTTGAGATAAAAAAGAAAGAGAGATTTTTTTCCTTTCCCTTTTTCACCATTTTGAGTTAGGGCCTTTATAGCCCAGGGTGCTCTAAAATTTACTAGATAGCTAAGAATGACCTTGGATTCCTGATCTCCTGCCTTCACCTCCAGAAATGGAATTAGAGTATGCACTACCATACCAGAAAGAATAGTATTTTAAAATAATTACTTAATAACAAACTAAGAAAAATTATAATAATTCCTTTTAAAAGAACTAGAAAAAGTAGTTAAGAATAAATTCATCCCAGGAGTTAAATGACCTGCACTCTAAATCTGTAGGACATTGATGAATCGAAGGCATGCAGAGAAAAAAGATATCACAGGCTCATGGGTCAGGAGAGCTAAAATTGGTAAAATATCTGTTTCTCAAAGTGATCTAAACACTATATTTATGCCTTGTGAAAATGCCAATGATGCTTTTCAAAAAAATAGAAAGCAATTGTTAAAATATACATGGCCTCACAAAGGTAGGCAAAGCCATTCCAAAGACAAAGAACAAAAGAAGGAGGTCTGCAAATGAGTCTCATTTCAAGTTGGTATGGGTTTTTATAAAAACTCAAAGTTACATTTTACTGTCTTATGATTCGACCCTGCTTCAAAATAAATTTTATATAATAATAAAATTTCAAAGTTACAAATATCTATTCAAATTAAGTTGGTTTAAAATATAAGACTGTTACTGTCTCCTGCTATGTGTTGCTCAAATATAATTTTAAGATCGCTTTATACTGTTCCGCTCAGGGGTTCATTGTTGCATACAAATTGTTTACCAATATTCTAAATTAAGATCTATTGAGTTTACAGGTATTTATGTTAAAACTGGGACAATTTGCTACATCTCTACTATCAA